AAATAAATATACTATTCGAAATTTAGAAGAAAGAAGTGTATTTATATATCGCTAGATATATACTAAGACTCGGACAGCCGACTAGTATATATCTAGATACTTTATATAATAATCCTAGTGAATTAGCAACTGAAAAGATTGGCGAGTTCATAGACCATTTTAGTTGTACTATATGCGGCATACCGGTATATCTTCTACAATTAATGCTATTTATACAGTACTGAGAACTTCCCTGGTCCCTAATACACAAATGCAATGCCGATGCATCCAAGCAGTAGCCTCTACAAAATAGTGGACCGAATTCCCACCCCGTTAGCCACCCCACTTCCCGCTACCCACACCGATACGTTACTGGCGATTTCCTTCGCACCCAGAACCCTAACATAATCCATACATATGCAAACTTTTCCTCCACTCTCCACTCTTTCTTTCCACTCTCTCCACTCTCTCTCCTCTTTATCCCTAGTCCTGATTTTCAGAATCTAATCTCCTGTTCATGATTCTCATCTCACACCCAAAAAAGTAATAATTCTTCCCCACCACCCAACCTACAGGCTACCTGCCGTGTTATCAACCAACCAACAAAAACAAAAACAAAAGAATGAATGAATAAATGAATTCCGAATCCGGGAATCGAACCCGGGGCTACTCGGATCAGTTGCTATCCTACTTGAAATGGCCATAACAAACAAGAAGACATATGAAAGCGAGTTATGTTAACCCCTACACTAATTCGGATGAGATGATGAGTGTTGGTTAGGTATATATAGGGTAGTGGGTGGTGATGGGTGGGGGAAGAGAGAAGAATAAAAGAGGGGATTAGGAATTTGTGAGGAGTGGAGTGGAGAGGGAAAATGGGAAAATAGAAAAAATGGGAATATCGAATGGGAGAGGGGAGGGGGAGGAGTTATGTATGGGTTTGATTGATTAGATTTGGATTTGGATTTATGGAAGTTGTGTTCGTGGAAACATGCTAATATTTGTTGGGTATGTGTTATAAGGAGATGCTGGAATAGAATACTTGAGAAAAGTAGCTGCAGGATTACGAAATAACTTTGAATAGATGTTAATATTCATTACTCGTACAATACAATATTCTGCACAGCATTCTTCTCATTGTCTTAGATATTCGAACAAAATTTAATCGAGTATAGATTAAAAATAAGGTTACTCTTACAATTACCACATATCCCCTTCCCTCCTCCGTCCTCGCCTCCCTTACTACTCTTAGGTATACAAAATGTAATATACACAACAAGATCATTAACAACATGAAGAAAATCAAGTTTTGTAGTTCGATAAATAATAGATGCCACGCAAGTCAATACAATACAATACAATCCAGTAATTATTCTGCACCGGCTCTCCTTTCCTCTCCTCGCTTCAACCGACTTTCTACAGTACTTAAGGTCTAATAACTCGAGTACTACTCGAGGATATACTGTGAGTAAATGGGTCGATTAATATAGGTTTCGAATAAGTAGGTAAGTAAGTAAGTATATAAAAATAACAATAACAATACCAAGTTTTTACTTTGTAAGATTAATAAAGTCTTTAGATATCTTTTCTACTCGAGTAGCGAGAACTCTTGTTAGAATGTACTCGAGTATAAGAATCTACTTCATTTGATTCCCATGGTGGAAGGAATCATATTATATATCATCCCATTATGTACCATCTATCAGATATATCCATCTTTTCACCAATCAGTCGATATCTCTCGAGTTGGGTAGATATCACTATCACTACTCGAGTATCTACTACCTACCATATCTCCTTGTTATTTCATCATCCACTCATCCATCCATTCATTTCATCCATCTCTTTATTCGCTCATACTTCTTCCTCCTCTCTCCTCTCTTCTCTTTCCAATCGTCCCCTTTCCCCTTTCCCCTTTCCCCTTACCTAGAAGAAAAACACCGGAAATGTTTGCAAATACAGCATACATACATACATACATACACACTTCAATCGATCGATCAATTAATCACACACCATCCATTCAATCATATCTTCATCTTAACCACCCATCCATACACCCAGCCCTTCAAATCCATCCACCCATCCAATCCACCCTTCAAATCCAGCATCGCATCGTATCATCGCATTGCAGCTTCACCCCCATAACTCCATACATCTTCTTCTTCTTCTTCTTCCATCAAAGAACACAACATTACCTCATAGTCATATCTCACATCTCACATCTCACATCTCATATGCACATCTCATATCACATCCATATCATATGCACATCATCATATCTCAAGAATTCAATTCAATTCAATTCAATTAATCCCCTTCCAAATCCCAGTCTCCCAGTCTCCCAGTCTCCCACCTCACCAACTTATCCCGCACCCGCACCCGCACTACTCTTCCCCTTCCCCTTATTACTCGGTTGCCTCTCATAAGCATTTGGACTTCTTTTCCTCTCTTTTCCTTTATCTTTTCCTTTATCTTTTCCTTTATCTTTTCCTTTATCTTTTCCCTTCCCATGCGCATTCCCGTTTCCATGTTCATGTCCATGTCCACAATCATCACCATCACCATGCTCATGATTTTGTTTATGCGAACCGCCCTTTCCATTCCCATTCCCAGCAGGTCTCGCACCCCCATCATCATCACCATCATCATCACTACTACTATCATCGCTATCACTCGAAGATTCATCCGAGGATTCGTCGATAGAGCGTGGAGCGTGGTATATACAACATACTATTTGATTTCCAAACCATTAGCATATCCCCTTATCAAACATCAAACATCAAACATCAAACATCAAACATCAAACATCAAACAAATAAAACCGCATTTTCTCCCCCTCAATTAATAAACCTCAACCCCACATCACCCCCATCCCCAGCAACCATAAACAAACACAAAATAAACAATCAAACAAACCTTTACTTTTCTTCCTCCCCAATCCCTCATTATCCACCACATCCTCCGCCCACTGAATCCTTCTTCCTCTCCCTACTCTCCCCACACCCCTCACATTCCCATCACCATCCATTCCATCAGCACTACTCTCATCCGCACTCGAAGCTCCTCTTAACCTCAAAACTGGCCCTGATGTATGTGTTGTCGCTGTTCTCGTCGTCGTCGATGTAAAACTACCTTGACTTTGCATTTGAGCTTGCATTTGAGCCTGTGTCCGAATTTGGTTTTGATTTTGATTTTGCATACGCCCACCTTCTGAATCGAGGGTGCTAGGATTCGATGCTGCCATTTTTATTTTTGTTGATGAATGGTTATGTTATGTTATGTATGATTTGGATATTTGGAGATAGAAGGTTCGTTCGTATGGATAGGTATATTGTCTCTGATCGAGAGGTGCGTAGTGTGCGGGAGATATGCAGAGCTGTATAAGTCGTCGCTCTTAAGTATATTCAATGTAAGAATTTCGCAGATATCACTTCTTCTTCTTCTTCTTTCCTCTGTTCTGCTACCTCTTTTATACTTCCTCGCAATACAATAGCGCAATAAAATCAATGAATGAATATGAATGAATACCTAGGTAATGATCTCCGACTTCTCGCGAATCTAATCCGATACGTTCGTTATTGAAAGATCTCTCTACTTCGTTCGAGGTGTTTGGTTCGCGTTTGCGTTCTCGTTCTCGTCCTCTATCGTATCGTATCGTATTATATCTAATCGTCTTGTATCGTATCGTACCGTAACAAATTGTCCGTCGAGCCCCTCACTCAAACAAATCTTCCAATCTTTCTTTTTTCCCTCTCACTCTTCTTCTTCCCTTTCTTCCTCTTCCTTCCTCTACCAGTACCTCTTCCCTTCCTTCACAAAAGCCTTCGCAGAACCTCACAACTCCTCTCAAACAAATCTCCCCCTCTCAAACAAAAACCGCAATACACAACCGCAATACACACAATTAAACCTCTTACCCTCTTACCCTCTTACCCTCTTTCCCTCTTTCCCTCTAACTCTAAACCTCTTATTTCCTATCCTACCCTTACAGTAACTAAATCCGTCTAATCAGTTTAATCCGTTTACTCCTTCGTTCACTCGTTCGTCGAAAAATTCTATCCTTTCGTTATCCTCTCGTACAGTACAAGTAATCTATTTAGCCCCACGTTTAATTATTTGACAGAACAGACCCCTGTCCTATCCTATTTGTCGATCATCCGAGGTCTACTCGTTAGCCAGCAACAGGGAGTTACTCGAGTAGTTACGAACGAGTGTGGAAAGAAAGAAAGAAAGAAAGATTGATCGGTGGAAGAATGTTTTATTTGATACAGTTTATTTTTTTCATTCGATCGATTTGGAAATTGGGTGTGATAACTAATTCGTGATTTGTAAGTTGTGACTTATTCTTTGTGCATAACTACGAGTAATCTAATTATATACCTATTCATCTACTCATAATGCTAGGAGATTGATCAGAAGTAAGATCTTACATTTATTTCCAGTATACATATATTTATTTCCAGTATACTCATCACACATGCTAACGCCTCCACGAATACCCACCCATGTGATCATAAGTCTCGTATATTCAAGTTTCGTATATTCATTACTCATAGCAGATCACCCATAACTCCTAACTCATAAACCCACCTCACAAAACCAACCATCCAACCAATATCCCCACCAACCCCAACATCCCCCCCCTCTCCCCTCCAATCCTCCCACTCATCCCCGGAATTTCCTTCTGAATCACCTCCGTAGTCGTCGCACTAGCCTGTGTCTGCACACTCTCACAACTAGCCGTACCACAAGCCCAACCACTTGGACAACAATTGCCACCTACACTTGCTGGACAAGTTGTCCAACCGTTAGCACATATTCCTGTTGTAGAAGTTGTTGTTGCGGCTAATCCAACTGGAACTACTACTGTTATTCCACTACTGATTATTGTAGTTGATGATGTAGCTGGACATGATGTTGTATCGCAATTCCTGCCTGTTCTACAACATCCTCCTTGATAGTGGGCTGAACAGGCATAGAATCCTGTTGGACATGTATCTTCAGTGGCTGTTGAAGTGGATTCGGTTGTTGTGGTTGTTGTTTCACCTGTAGGTCGAACGGGAACAATTCCTGAGGCTGATGTGGTTGTAGTTGTGCTCACAATTGACGTCGAAATTTGAGAAGAGGTACTAAATATGCTTGAGGTACTAGATAATGAAGACCTTGTACTAGTAATCGTAGATGTTTGGGTGGTAGTCGTTGGAGTTGATGAAATAACGGTCAAAGTTTTGGTTGTAGTAATAACTACCACAAGTGACGGATTTATAACACAACCAACTGAAGCACATACATAATTTGGTATGCAACAACCTCCTCCTATATCATCCGAACAAGGTGTATTTGGTGATGCGCAATTCGTGATTGAACCTCCACAGTTTCCCCCACTAGGACAACATCCAACAGGTCCTAATCCAGTATCTGTAATTTGAAAACAAATCTCATCTGTGGCGCAACAACTATTTGGATATCCGATTGATGAACAATTCGATGTTCCTGTAGGACATTGAAAGTCTCTCTTCTCCAGTATAGCCAATATAGCAGCTGAATCCTTTCCACGAGCTCGTATCTCTTCATAATCCAAAGGTCCTGAACGATCGTCCGTATGTAATGCGAATGGTGCTCGAAAAGATAATGGAATTGACGAATTAGCAAGTGATCTAGCCTCCTCCTTCAAATCTCTTTGCCGCAGAAAACCATCCCTCCCATTCAAACTCGATTGCGAATCCTCTCCCCCAAATCGCCAATATTCCGTAAAGAACTTCTCCCCCTCGTCTTCACTCATTTTCAATATCCCAACTGGACTTTCAACAACCACTATCCCATCCTCTTCCAATCCCCCATCTCTTTTCGCACTCGCACGCGCACTCGCAGATCCATAAAACCAATATTTAACGTGTACCGCAAGATCGCGAGGCCATTGAACCAGTAATCGATTATCATCATCAACAGCCTGTACTGGATCCGTCTGCGACACAAGCAATAAAAGAATCGAAGTCGGAAGACCTAGTATATCCAACGAAAGACGCATTTCGAGAGACTGCTTATCCAGATATAAAGTTTGAGAGCGGGGTAGGGACAGGGACGTCGTAGGGACAAGGGACGTTCGTTAATACCAGGGATCAGCTCTTGAAGCTTTTGGGAGCTCGTGTCGATCAAAATCCAGTTGATTCTATACTCGAGTACAAATCTGTACTGTTACAAATCCAATCGACAAATCAAATTGAAAAGAAGAGGATATGCAAGTACTAAGTTGGGAGTACTAGGTTTAAGAGATCCAAGAAAAGAAACCCCTTCCCAAATACGAGTACAAGAAATAATCAAGCAAAAGAAAACTGAGGCTGGGAAACACCAAACAGATAATAAGTACTGTAGAGAATAAAAATCTCCGGTGGCTGGGATATAGCGAAATGACAAACCTTGAAAGATGTCAAGATGACTTGGCATGTACCGGTACTTCAGAGAAGAACTTGACAACCAATGTAGAAGTTTAGAAGCTGTGGAGCTTGATCTTGATGCATGAGATGCGGTGAAGCAAGCTTGAGAAGAGATCTTACCGATCTTACCTCACCTTATCGCAAACAAGCTCGCTCTCCTTATCCTTATCAATAGGTAGATAAAGCCTTCCCAGCTTCCCAGCTCCCGGTGAGCCCGCCCTGTATTTGCCATGAACCTCTTCTCTTCCTCTCTTTGCTAGCTGATTATATTAATACTGAGTATAAATTCATCCTTTTTAAATAACGGCGAGACTCTCTCTTTACCCAATGTTAGTTCTATCTCTATCTGAGGTCACTAAAATTCTACTGTAGTAGAATAATTATAATAAATAAATAAATACTACTTAAACTTGCTCATACTAATAAATCCAGATTCTAGTGATTGTCTATAATGATGAAATAGTATATTACCAAAGACGAATGAGAAATAAATACAAATGAGTTTATAAGTTCTAGGTATTTCTTTTTCCTCTCATCTTCTTCCGCCATTTCCCCATCCTCCACCATCTCCCACCGCTCCTCCCCATCTCCCTTCCCCTTCTTTTCCCCTCTCCCTTCCCCTTCTTTTCCCCTCTCCCCATCTCCCATCTCCCCATCTCCCATCCCACCACTCCTCCCTCTCTCCCTCTCTCCCCCTTCCCCATCTCCCCGTCTCCCCTTCTGACTAGTAGTTGAATAATAAATGAGTAGACTGAGCTTGATTCTTCTGACTAGTTTGACGAGTACCTGGTGAAATAACATATACCGGTACATATGACATCGGAACAAATGATAATAGGAAGTGAAGTGAAAGTAAGTTAGCCGAGTTCTGATTTGGGGGGAGGAAGAGGATGAAGGGGGGACGAAGAAAGATTGTATTTGTATTGATCGATCAATATTTACGAATTTAAGAAAAGGGGAAACGTGGAAACGTGGAAACGTGGACATGTCAAGTAGAAGTGAATATGAAAGTTGTATTAGGGCTCAAGTATATGGCATCATATTAAAGCAAAAGACAGAAAGTTTGGCGATGGAATGTTATAGACCTAAAGCTATGTAGGATACATAAAAATGATGGTAGGAGAGATGATTATCTAGCCCATTTGCCTTGTTAATTCATTCCTTCCATCATATTCATGTATACATTTTATCAAGCCTCTATCATAGATGGATTACCTCATCTGCTAGTCTGGCCAGCTCACCAAATGCTTGATGAATGTCTCTATTGTAGAAACACTCCTGCAATGGTTTCCTCCCTTCCACCCCGCTGTACAGTCGGATTGTGAATTGTCCAATAAAGTTAATAGCAGTTAAGTCCAACCTTTTGGCCAATCTTCTGATACAGATATCAGATCTACATCTCAAAGGCAGTATATAATCCTCCACACCACACAGCTAAGCAAAAAAATAAATCTGTACCAACTAACCACCATTGATTTGAGATCAAAAAGGGTGGGATGGATCCAATTGCTTTGATCTCTGGACTATTAATGCCAACGATCCAAATAAGGTCTGATGAACTCTATTGATGCAATCACTCTAAATATGCAACAATAAAAGATCGTAGACTTGATAGTGTTCTCTTCTATGTTATCAAAATGCATGATGCCAAAGCATCGGCGTGATGAATATATCTTCGAAAGTAAGAGCAATTTCGCTCATTTACTCTCATCAGCTCCACCAGCAGCTTGAGCTTGAGGACCGGTAGGAACTTGATTGTTGGGTGGCCCATGTGGGTGTTGAGCGTGTTGTTGGAAGTTTTTGTTGTAATGATTGCCATTGGAGTGACTGTTCTGACGGTGTGGTTGGCTTGCATTATACTGATTCGTGAGGTGCGCATTCTGAGGGCTTGTGCCGTATGGATTTGGTCCTCCATAACCACCTCGCATTGGCACTATTGGATATATTAGAATGTATTGCGACGTTTCGCGAGATGTTGAACTTACTTTGGTTTGGAACTGGTTGAGGAAAGACAGGTGCTAAATTACCATATTGAGGACCGGGACTCATACCATACACAGGTTGATGACCTTGTTGCGAACCTTGATGCATCATCATTGGAGCACCTCTACCAGGACTTGGATAACCACCATTTGGCATAGCTGGTGGGTGACCATTATTTGGTGGCATGAATTGACCCTGTGCACCAGGTGGATACATCATTTGTGGACCAGGTGCCATTCCTTGTGGAGGCATAAATCCGCCAGCAGGGTTAGGCATCATCATGGGTTGACCCATATGTGCCTGCTGTGGCATGAATTGGTGGTTTTGTGAAAGAGATCTGAATGGCTGCATTTGAGGTGCACCAGGGTAAGGTAGCATCTGGGGATTATAGGCCAATTGGGCATTTGCACCCATTGGAGAATGGAATGCCATCGGAAGTTGTTGCATTCTTGGAGATGAGAAGGATTGTGCAGAGTGCGATGGCATCATACGCAGTTCATCAGGACCGCTGAAAGCTGGGGTAGGGTGACCCATTTGAGCTCCATGCATGTTGAGTGGAGGTTGACGTGGAGATTGCCTAGCATTAATGTTGTGCACACCTGACTGGAGGTGGAACGGCAATTGATGTTGATGTGGTACCGGTGGGGCTGTTTGTGGTGGATGAGGCTCCGATACAACTGGCGTGGTGGTGGGGAATGGTGCCTTTTCAAATACTTGAATGTACGACTCCGTGGGTGCACCGTTAGCAGTTACTTTCCATAGCAGATGAGTATCGTAAGCTGGCTTTAAGCCACCATTTGCGCTCCAATTCTTTCCTTCTCCTGGCTTTAGGGTCTTGATGAGCTCCATCGCATCATATTTGCCTTGAAGCGAAGCGCGAGCGCCCTTTGCCAATGGCTTGCGACGAACCAAGGAACGTGCAACAGGTGGTGTTGGTTGAACCTCTGCAGCATTGGCCACCGGACGAGGACTCGAGCCACTGCTTGGATTGCCAGCGGGACTGAAGTCCTTGGCGAATGCGTTTGGTCGGAATTCGCTGACGCTAGCATTAAGTCTCGGACCACCTTGAGCACTTGTAACACCACTTGAACGACGGGAAAAGTTGGGATCAATAGGATTCGAGGGACCAGTGGGAGGAAGTCTAGCCTCATGGACTGGCATCACATTCGATGGAACTTGAGCAGGCCTATTTTGTTCGAGGCTTCTCAATCGCTGGGACAAATTACCGGCTGGGCGGCTTTGAGGCATTGACTGCTGTGCCTGAACAGGTCTATCGCCTCGAGAGTTCTGTGTAAAACTGTGAGTGCCTTGCGGATAAGGACCACGTCCAATGTTTTGACGACTAGAAGTACCCGATGGTGGTGATGTAGTATGAGTAGTTGTTGTAGTTGCGGAGCGTTGTGCCGCGTTAACGTCAGGATTTGGTGTAATCGGCTTGACAGATTCAGTAGGATGAAGTTTGGCTTCTTCAGCATTGCGTTGTGCTCTCTCCTGGATTGCCTTTTGCTTCGCAGGGTCCTTGGCAATGATAGGAACAAGATCTTGTGGAACTGGAGTGTTCAGCTTGAAATCAATCGCGAATCTTTTGAGGTCATTGAGCTTGACCAGCTTATCATTCTTGGCCTTGTTCAAACGAATTTGTTGCATATTGCTTCTCTGGTTGGCGGCAAAGGTCTTGAAAGCCTTGGAGACATCAGCCTCAACAGTTGCCGTAGCATTTGGTCCACCAGTAGTTTTGACTTGTGAGGGCAATGTGCGACTTGTTGAAGGAAGCTCTGGTGTAGGAGTAGTGCTTGACTCGGTGGTGGTCGGTGGAGTTGCTACCTCTGGCTTTGTAGGTTTTGCGGCTGGAGCCGATTTTCCTTTATCGGCGGGTTTATCGGCTTTCGCTCCTGCAAACATGATGGCCGAATCGATAAGAGCACGATCGGCTGGAGCAGATGCTGGGGCAGCTGCGGGTGCGCGATCAATAGAAGTACGATCAACAGGGGCACGCTTGCCAGGTGGTTGATATGCACCTTTTGACGAGGTAAGAGGTGGGAAATCTTGTCTGCGAACACCACTATATCTGCTTGTGCGTTAGCAATTACTCGCGAAACAAAGTACTCCAGAAAAACTCACTTCTCTTCTTCATCAAGCCCATTCTCATTCGATCCGGTGTGATCCGCAATGCGCTCCTCTGCAATATGAGAGTTCATTGCTATGCTGCCAATAATTTCTCTAGCCTTTCTGTCTGCATCGGCGAGTCTCTGTGCATAATGTGGGTGACTAGTGTTGATCTGAGTTGTGTAAATGTTCTCATCGTAGTCCGTCTTCACACCGAATCGTCGCTCGTTCTCTGCAAACTGATCCCAAGGAACGCCTCTTCCTCGACCTCCTTCCAGAGAACCATCAGTGTCGGCAGGCTTATCGGGGACCCATCGCTGTAATACACGCTCTCCTTGGTTTCTGTTGCCAGAAATTGCAGTGTCTGTACGAAAGAAGCTTGAAGTGCCTGGGAAGGTTAGATTTTGTGATGTCACTGATTTGAGGAAGCACGACAAACCATTTTGCGATCTGCCATCAGCCTTTCCCATACCATTTCCTCGAGAATCTCCCAAATCTTTTCTTTGCGACGTCATGGTTGCTGATTGATCTCTATACTTTGTGCTGCCGTTGGGAAGGTCGTTACCCTTCTTTCCTTGTTGTACCATATTCAACAACTGATAACCAAATGAATATCAGTTATATTGAACTTTGTAGTGGTATTATGTATATGCGTGATTTACTCGAAGAGATATCTGAATCAGAAATAAATCAGCATCGGAATCCAGGTGAATGAAAATTGAAGGTCAAGGTGAAGGTGAAGGTGAGTGAGTCTGATTCGGCTTTGGTTACACAACACGCAATCAATGCGCAGTACTCCATCGACCATGCAGTCAATCAATGAATGGTTCAAAGAAGAGAGGAATCTTGGAAGAATTAGACAGAGAGGGGATATATAGGAATACGTACCGCTTAATCGAAATCTCCAAACACACCCTTCTTTGATCTCTCGAATCGCGCCAACGTGTGTGCGTCAAGGCTGGATGATTCGTGACGAATCTGGGGTCGATATGGAATCGTCCCAAGTCGAAGATTAAATTTCTAAAAGAAGGGAATGTGGTTAGCATACATGCAATGTCATGCACAATCGCAGCAAGACTGATTTGTGTTGTGGTTGTTAGGGAATTGCGAAAGCGAAAACGAAAGCTCCAAGCTTAATCGTGTCAAAAAGAAGGCTGGGTTTGTAGTTAAGGACATTTGATATTTTGTCTCACCTCGGATAGAAAATTATTTGTAGCAAGAGAGACCTCCACAGCTCTCCCTTTCGCAATCGCTGAAATTGTGTACAGTATATCGTAACAGATCAGTCAAATTTTGAAAGTTAAGAGTTGTTGGGTTGTGGTGATCCTTCAGAAGAGGGGAAATTATTAGAATTTCTGAAGAGGTTCGGGTGGAAGTTGGTTGGAGAAGTTCAAGGTAAGGTAAGGTAAGGTAAGGTTGGATGGTGGATGCAAGTAAGTCAAGCGAATGGGGTATTATTGCTTGTCAAGTAGTAGCGTGGTTGTGATTCTGGTTTTGGTTTTGGTTCTGGATTCTGGCTGCTGTGCTGTTGCTCGTTCGTAGTTTTTATTATGGACAAGCTGCTTGTCCTAGAGGAAAGAAAAGGTGTTGAATTGTAACCCAGAATTATTGAAGAGGAAGAAGAAGAAGAAGAATAACAAGTATGTAGAAGAAGAGATTTGAGAAAAGTGATCCTGATCAGTGGGCTATGGAATAGAGAGAATGAAGACGTATTATTTATTCTCAAGATCTCCAGAATTGAGAGAAAGAAGTAAATGTTTTTTTTTTCCCTATTGTTCGTTTGAGATCGTGGTGGTTTTGTAGTGGTGTACGGATACCGAGTTCTTCTTCTTCGTGATCTCTTGTGATTTGATTATGATTGTAGGATAAGGTAGGTTTCTCGATTTTATTAACAGTAATAATTGAGATTCTATCCTTCATGAAAAGTCATGAAATAATTGAAAGAGAGAAGATGAACTCAAGTTATGGATTGAAGAGTAAGAGAGGAGATCCGAAAGAGGCCTGAAAAAAAGGTTGGAGGAGTTGAGTTGTAACGAGTAGAATAATTAGAGAAGTGAAGAAGATAATGACGAATAATTAATTGAATTGGATTTTTCCTTCCAAATTGTCTGGAACCGATTACCGTATAGAATTTACAAATACTCAGAATTATGATTAGCTTTCTCTTTTTCGTTGTTATTTCTTCAATTCTATCTACAAAGTTTATGATGCTGTATGTATTCGATCAAGTCTTTCAAGAAAAGTACCTACATCTTCATCATTATAACGGGGAGCCGGTGATCCGGTAGGTATCCTAGTGTCGATGGACGGGAGCATTAATCCAAATGGGGATTTTTGTATTTATAGCCATATCAATTCACAAGTGGGGGAAATCAGATCTCTAGGAGAAAAGTAGGTAAGTGAGTAGTGAGCAAGAATACTCGAGTACTTATTGTTGTATACCATAATAAATCAATCATTCTATGACTTCAATATTTACAATCAACAAGGGTGTATAAATTAAATTTCCATTTGGGTCTCTTGGGTCTCTTGGGTCACATATACGAACATCCGAACATCCTTTGATTTGACCTTGGTATCAATCAGATGTATCTCCTACCTACTTACTATACAGTACCAAATGTATTTATCTCCCTTGGTGTGCAGGCTTACTTGCATATATATACATGAGGTTGATGATGGATGATAATATGATGGATGATAATATGATGGATGATGGATGTTCTATTATTTATTTCAAAGGGATCTTATAGGGTATTCCGGCATATATACATAGCTGTTTCTTCCAAGTAGAGAAATTCTTGAGGTATTTGTATTGAGAGGAAGAGGCTGAGATACAAATTACAATCCATCGAGTTACGTACGTACCCTATAATATATTTGTTCAAAATCCAACCAATTCATTCATTCATGAGATCCTCATACTGCTACAATGCCTACCTAGGTATATTCAAAAGTAGAGAGCGCTTCCATTCATCATGAAAATAGCCTGATCTTAACAAGGAGCGATCCTAACAATTCGATTGTTCCCCATCGTCAATATCCTGACGAGGAGCCCCCCCGCCCCCCTCTCAGTAAGTAATACAGGCCTGAGCTTCGAATTCTCTAGGTACATGGATTAGAACACCTGCATGGAATCTTCGGACTATTTTTCAGATCATCTCCTTCTCATGTACTCCATCAGTACCTTATTGTAGAACAGACAACATTTGATAGTTTGGTACCAACTACCTACTAGGTAGTTAAGCCTCATAACAAATATAATGAATGAATAGATGGCGTTATGGAGGGGAAGAAAAGGTTGAATTATCCAGTATCTAGGAAGATCTCTAGATATTTTAATCGAGTCTATCTATCTATCAATCCATCAGGAACAATGAACATATATTCTATACCAAAAAAATGTTGAGGTACCATCCTGATGTTTGCCTACTGTACCCTTCTTTTTCTTCGGATATCTTCATCTCTTCATCTGCACTGGGGTACGGGGTATCAGCCAATCAAGGAAGAAAGACTTGCATTTCTCCAAGGCCTCGGGATGCGGATACGGCCTAGATGGAATTGAATCTTGGTTTGTGACTACAGTATGGTACCGCGCGGTAGGGGAAATACCCGAATTGTTCTTCAAGTATAGGCAGTGCAGTGCTATCTGATAGGTAGGTAGGTACCTTGATTGTTGGTAGTTGTTGGTACGGAATGCTCTAGATTCTTCTTGGTTAGTGTTGTAAAACTACTGTACACTGTACAGTGTACAGTACCGATAGATACATGGGTAGCTTCAAAGAGTAAACTGTAATAAAGTTGAATCCTAGGATGGTAGGACCTCTCTTGTCACTGAATTTCAAAAAGTAATCTGTGCAAATTGTAAAGGGGAAAGTCAATGTTGGGTGGCACAATAGATACCTAGATATCTTCTAGATCTTTCCAGTTAGAGAAAGAATGACGTGAACTGTTGGTGTTAGATATCTAATAAACTTCTTGACCACTTCCTTGTTTATACATAGGCTATCAATACCAATACAAGATGATATAATGATATAATGATCGTCACTTTCACATTCGTCGTTTGTTTCACTCTGTTTTGCTCTGTTTTGCTCAATGGAAAAGGGCATAACAAACTGACCTTAAGATTGTATGGTATATCACACTCCCCTCTCTATATATGAAGTGATACCAAGTCGTCAAAGTATGCTCTTAGAATAATAAAGAGGTTGGTCTGTTGAAACAAGATGTTTTGTACAGAGTAGAATGAATGAAATGCGAATGGCAGGGGTAAACCTTGACTTAAAGATGTCTAGAAATGAAAATGGATTTTGATGTCTGAATATGATACTGTATTGAAGTTGTTTCGTGGTAGATATATCCAGTATCTCCATTATCAAGTTGACCTGAAAGATACTCCATACTCTTCCCTCCCTCTCAACTAAGGAAATCTAAGGAATAAGGATTAGAACTTATATTCCAATAACAAACATATCATTCTATCATTCTTCAATGTCAAATTTCTCTTCAAGCTCGGACCACTCAGACTTTCCCCAGCCCAAGAAGTTTCACCACTGAGTAAACCTTTTCGGCTAAACTAGCGTGATCTGGCACACATGCTTGCATGAGGCACTCACCTCACCTGCCGTGTTAGATTGAATTTATACTTATCAACTTATCACGAGTACTGAGTACTGAACTGTAAAAATCGCAAAAAAGATTCACATTTATTGCTGCGAAATTCTTTATCATTTTCCATCACAAGACAGGAGTGCATCATCTATTTGCATTGATTTGCCAAAACAACACTGCTCATTGCAACATATATTCGTTGCATGGCGCTGACTCTTTGCTAAATCCTTCTTTCAACTTCCCACAGGATAATAGTAAATAGATCGGTCGCAGAAATGCAAGCACCACAACGACCTGTTCAAAGACGATCTCCAGCTTCGGATTCCCCTGGACCACCACCGACAATATCTGCCAGGGCTATATCTCCAAGTTTGGGCCCTCAGCCAAGGAATTCCACAGCATCAACCAGATCTGTCCAGAGCAATCATTCAGGAAGAAGACAGAATGTGAGTGATGCGATCCACTTGGCATATTCTCTTCACACTTGCGACAATGACTTCTCGAATAAAATCAGGTGCTAACATGACCTTCGTTACATAGGGTGGTCAACCTCCGACAAGCAGTAGTGGTCAAAGTGGTCAAAGTGGTCAAAATCCCCCACCATTATCTCAGATCGAAAAGAGTGTAACGCATCTCCTCGTCGCAACGAAACAACTTCTCGAAACACTTACACAATGGTCTCGGCATCAAGCGACAGATGCACAAGTTTCAGATGTATACGTGCGTTTGGGGTATGAGTTCAATATTGCTTGTAGGGCATTTACCGCAATCAATGTTGATACTTCGGATTTGGGAAATGTACCAGAGCTACTTCGGCATATACTGGAATCGACGCTCAGTCAAGAAGCAAGTGTTGAGAGCTTGGAGAGATATCTACCGCGAATTAGAGATATAATCATTACACTGCTCCATGGTTTGAAGCGAAAGCAACAGAAGCTGCGACAAAAGCAAGGGAGAGATAGCGCAACACAAAATGGAGAAGCTATACCTAGAAATGGAAGCTTCAGCAGTATTGCGAGCAATAGCACTGGGCTGACGACTTTATTAAATCAAGGGTTGGAAAATAATTTTCAAGGAGATCCGGGTGCACCGAATGACCGAGGAAGCAAAACACAGGCTAACACCGACTCAATCCTACCCCCACGAATGTCATCAGCCTCAGGATCCTCAAACCGAAGGGCTGCTCCTCCACCAAGAGATGCATCTCGAGGTTCAATATCTTCAGATCAATCTACCCTGTCAAGTACAACTATGCAGAGCATTCCTGTTGTTCCACCTTACCCCGGAGATGAAGTTACTCTATCAATGCCACGTCCAATAGATGGTGATCATTTGACTGTCGACAATTTTCCACCACCTCCACCACCACCAAAAACAAATGCTGCATTGGCCGCTCTACAGAGAGGAGGAGATTTGGAAAGACGAGCTTCAAGACGTTATTCTGCCTATCAAATCTCGAAACTTGTTGGTGCATCTCCAAATGGAGTTCCAATGCTTCCTGTTCCACAAAATTCACCAATACCAAACAGGGGACGCAATGATGCTCGAGAGTCTTTGAGAGCTGTTCAGAACCGTGATTATCGTCTTGGTCGAACAAATTCCCGTTTGATCCAGACTGAACTATCTCCAGTCCGAAAGCCAAGCATGATCGCTGAAGAGACTCAGGAGACTTCATTCCAGCAGCCAGAAGAACCAATATTGAATGATAGCCCTACAGTCAAGACTCCAGAAGATAAGTTAAGACAGTCTTTCATTGACTATGATGGACCAAGTGCAACACTCAATGGACCACATCCTGATGTTCTCACATCCTTCGATAATCATAATCAAGATGAAGACAAACCTGCATCTGAACCTCCTCAAGCTCCCGAACACAAGCAATCTACTACTAAGAGAGAAAGTCCTATTTATGACAGCCAATCAAGACAATTTACACCGGAAGAATCTCCACCTCCCCCGGATAAAGAGATTACAGTTTTCTTACAATACAAGACCAAGGTTAAGAAGTTTGTCCTTGCTGATGGCTACAAGGATCTGTCTATGGCAAGATTACAATTGGCTTTCATTGAGAAGTTCGCCTGGAATACCCACAACAATGGCGTTGATCTTCCTGAGATATACATACAAGATCCAGTGTCTGGCGTTCGACATGAACTGGAAGATCTCCATGATATCAAAGATCGTGCTGTACTTGTACTAAATGTGGAGGTTCTGGACGAAGTCAAGCGACACATTGATGATAGTCTAGGAGGATTGAAGAAAATGGTTGAGAGTGTCAAAACAGCAGTAGATGATCAGCAAGTTACTATTCAGAGGGTCTCCGATCGCCAACAAGACGCTGCAAAAGAAATGGCTCGAATCGCATCTGCACCACCTGGCTCGTCAAGACTTTCCATGATCGATACTGGACGAGTCACCAATGGCAATAACTCCAGCCCATCGAAAGTCAACGATCAAGCGCAACTTTCCGAGATTCAAAGCCTTCGCCGCGATCTCGCAGTACTCCGACAAACCTATTCAGGCTTCCAATCCGACATTCAGAGTTCCATGGCTTTGATCCGCACAAAGGCTAGCTCAGTCAAGAGCGTTGCTGTTAAAGCTGTCATTCCAGATATCAATGGTGACTCCGGACGTTCCTATGTCAATGGTGGAAAGAAAAACCTTGGTGAAGAATCCGACAAATTGGTTGCGCAAGTTGATGATCTCCAAGATATTGTTGAAGATCTACGAAAGGATGTTGTACAACGTGGTGTGCGACCTCTTCCTAAGCAATTAGAGACTGTGGCCAAGGATATCTCACAAGCTACGATGGAACTCAAGAGGATGCAAGATTTCTTGAAACGTGAGAGACCAATCTGGACCAAGATTTGGGAGAAGGAATTGGAGACAGTTTGCAATGATCGTGAAGAGATTACTATGCAAGAAGACCTTGCAGCAGATCTTCAAGATGATTTGGAAAAGGCCGCACAAACCTTTGCACTGGTGGAACAAGCTACCAAGGAACAGTTGAAGGAAGGATCACCAAGCCAAGTTGGTACTGGCCGAAGTCTTTCCAAGGTCCTCAACCGTTTAGATCTAATGGATCCTGCAACAGCGAAGGAAGGTGTCCTTGACGAAGTTCGTGCGTTACAACCAAATCACGAGAATCGCCTAGAAGCTATTGAGCGCGCAGAAAAACTTCGACAAAAGGATCTTGAAAGTCGTCGAGGCAATGTGCTACAAAAGGAATTAACCACTTTTGTTGAAGAAGGAAAGTTGAAGAAATCTGGGGGTTTCGAGGAGGTCGAAAGACAAAGAATTGCAAAAGACGCACGGAACAGAAGAGAAGTCTGGGAGCGCCAGAATGGAATGACGCAGGCGGATGCGAATCTTGAGGGTGTGGATGATCCTGCAGTCGAGGAAGGCACAGATGCAGATAGGATGGAGGATGAAGTTGCAGAAAGCTGATTCTGCAATTGAGAGACGATAAACTACGATACCAATGAAGGCGAAGGGGAATCACATTTCAAAACATGATGACAATTTTTGAGATTTTTCAATATCATGTGTCGTGGAGGAGCAAAGCAGGGAATGGATGTTGAACTCGGGTTTTGACATTTACTCGATCTTGCCATATTGTTTTTCATGGAAGGTGCACAATGTTTGTTATATTCAAGCAAGGCGTTGTTAGGAACTGGGCATTTCTTTAGTTTGGCTGCATGATTATTGACATGAGCGTTTCTTGTGGTTTTCTTCACGGCTTTTCTTTTTTTTTCATGTGGCCAATAAAGCGAGCTACATCGGTATAAGGAATATTCCACGAGATGTTGTTATATGGGCGTTTTGAACTTTGCATATGGGATGGGATGGGATAGGGGTGGAAAGTTGATGGTTTATTATTGCATGGGGGTGGATGAAAGAGGGAGGGGAATGGCGGATAGGGTGGATGGGGTGGATGAAAGCATTGGAAAGGAAATAATGATGGAATTATTATAGCATCTAGGTGAGATGCATGGAGATGGATGGAAATTGAGATTCTATATCAAGTTGGTTGTGCCAATACAATACAGGGCAGATAGATAGTTTGTGTGTGTGTATTGTAGTTGTAGAGTAAGTACCAAATTAGGAATGTAGAGTTGAGATGAGTTGAGATGAGATGAAAATTAAAGAAAAATTAAAGAAAAATTGAAAAATGATGTTGGTGTGTGTGCTATTGTGATGTATATGTGTGATTTGTATGATATTAAATGTATTCTTGGATCTTGGTCCAGATGGGATAGGGAGATGGGATAGAGAGATGGAATAGGGATATGGTATAGAGAGCCTGAGGTGGGATAAGTGGGGTAAAATAATAAAAAAGTGTATATGACTTTCAGATAAGTATCGGTACTTTACTATATAGTATATATAATTCGAATATTCGAGTATTTGAATATATAATAGAATAACTTGAAGTAGACTCGGATATAACTTTAAGTTGAAGATATATAAAAATTTATACTTTATTGATTAGATTACTGATTGAATTACTGATTGGATTGATTATATATAATATAGTGTGACAGTAAAATAGTACGATATTGTAATACCGGGAGT